ACTGCATTCCAAGCATTTTCTTTGGCCCGACACAGCATAAACCCTCTTCTAAGGTGCAAGGATACTACCCTAGAAAAAACCAATGAGTTCACATATCTCGGTATGACGTTTGACACAAAGCTAACATGGAAAAGTCACATTGCTCAAATAGCAGAACTAGTCTCCAATAGACTGAATGTACTGAAGCGTCTTGCTGGTAGCGTATGAGGCTGTGCACGCTTAACTCTCAACGCCACTTACGAGATATTTATTCGGCCAATAATGTTGTATTGCCGTGAGCCACTCATTACAGCCAGAGGGGTGACTCTCAAACCATCGGAGAAGGCACACAACCAAGCATTACGACTAATTACTGGAGGGATACAATCAACATCCATTGATGCAATGCTCCTAGTTACAGGAAGCACCACAATATGTTCCCTTATCAAAGCAATAAATATTAGTCTAAAAATTGAAATATAATAGTGGATTTTCAGTCTAGTAATAAGGTCAATTGTAGCAGAGGGCATATGAAGCGAAATACAAAATTTAGAGTTGCTAAAAATAATCGAAAATAACAACTATTATGATTATGCATTATTTAAATTCCGTTATTGTGGAGATGTTTGCACGAAATTAAATTTTACTTTTAAATAAAACAGCAAGATTAATTATTCTCTCAAATTCAGATTGATTTAACCTTTTCCAATATCTGCTCTGCAGGCACATCACAGAGATACATTTCGACGAATTTGCAGTCAAATAGATTTTTGAAATCATTTGCCATTCAGGTAATCAAAAGGTGCCCAATACTCACTATTATCTTGACCTTTAAGTTATGGAAGCGGCTCAATTTCTTGAGCAGTAACATGATACAGAGAAAAATGCTTTTCACACATTTCAGAAGAACTAACAGCTGCATTATTCACATAATTAAACGCCTTTTTTATTATCTGACATTAATTCCAAATTTAATGTATTTACATTTAGCATGAAACACTGTGATACTTCGAAATATGTAATAAACAAGTTCTAATGTGAAGCAAATTGCAACATTAATAAAGCCTCTCTAACTCAGAAATCTCTGCGACACATTCTACTGCATCTACCTAGACTCCCAGAACTAGGTAAGCTATAGCCCAGCTATAGAGGAAGCAGACGTATTGCACGGAACACAAGTGTTTCGTTTAAATTGTTTCAATTGATGACATCATCCGATGAATTGACGAAATTGGTTCAATTGATGACAGAATTCAATGAAATAATGATATTGTTTCAATTGATGACAACATTTAATGAATTAATGAAATCGGTTCAATTGATAACAACATTCAAATATTGACGAAATTGTTTAAATTGAATTATGCCAATAGAGACAAGAAGAAATACGAAAATTCTCTATTTGGATAAAGACGAAATGGGTTCCAAAATGGTTTTCTCATTTATAATAGCGCATGCAACCTCCATCATTCCAATGTAACTATTTACATATTTTAACCTATTTCTATGTGAATGAATGACACAGTTGTGATTGATAATCAATGTCATAAATACAGACTGATATGAGTGATAATGAATAGGTGCAATAACTAGACAAATTTCGTCTGAGTAGGCATGCGAGTTCATTTTCAACTTTGGTACTATTGTGCGCGTAACTCAAATACACTCTGTGTACACCCAAGGTGCATGCAAGTTTTGGGTTTCGAATTTGAGCAGGTAGAAATATTGTCTGCTAAGATTCCATGAAAAGGGGAGTGTATAAATCTTGTTATGTTAGGTAAATAGTTGCTCTGAGTTGATGTCTCATTTCGCAAGCACATTTGAATCGAGGACTCAATCAGTCCTCATTTAAAGTTGCAATCACAACACATTTTCAGCATACCTCCAAAATATGATGTGAAAAATCAACAAATCTACCCTACTAATGAGATAAACCAATCAAAAATAAGATTCTTGTTACATTTCTCTATTGTTCAACGGATCTTCTTGGCTTGAGACACTTACTATCGACTGGATTAAATGGTTACCAGTTTTAATGAACTTAAGCTTAACTTCAATTGATGATGAATTGAGATTTTTGAAATGGGATTGTGGGGAGTGCGATAGACGTACACATTTAGGAGCACATTGAATGAAAAATTTTATCCACCGACATTGCAGATGTAGTCTAATTATCCATATCCTAAAGTTTGAAAAATAAATAAACCGGACTTGATCATGGCACGATTGATAGAAGTTAAGTGATTTAAATGCACACAGGCTTGGTTGGAGAGAAAGAAGTGTGAAGAATCTGGTGTTAAGTCGCCTTCTTTTGACTAATATCAGTTTAACTTTGAATAGTTATTGGCAATGTCTCCAATACCAAAACAGCTCTTACAAATGTTAAAATATCTCCCCGTTTTCTTTTCCACAGAAATCCATGGGATTCCGAAGGGCTCAAAATAGAACTTATGTAATTAAGAAAGGAAGAAATCAGCTACCACAACAAACTATCGTAAGTTCAGCCGTCGTACATCCCTTTAATTTACTCCCTTATACGAGTATACTGGCTTTATTCAATGAAAGAAATGGAAATGTCCAAACCTTTGAAACCCTCCTTGAGGTGTTGTATCAGTTTAAATTTAAGAGGTTATAAGAACACAAATTTTGAGATCATTATCATTAGCGCTTTAGTTGACTTTGGGCTTCACAGAGGGGAAAGAATGTCAAAGTGAAAAAATTCGAGAGTGTGGGCAGGGGTGGGGACAGAAGAGAGTTTCAAAGGTAGAAAAAAGATGAGGTGTGTACTATAAAAGTAGTCAAACATGAGATACAGTGGGGTAATGGTCGTTTGAAGTCAGAAGTCAAGTACGGATTTATAGACTGGATGTCACTGTGTTGGTCAGGTTTTAGCAGGTTTATTATAAGCGCTGCTTTGACTTTTATCAAAAACTGAAAAGATTCCGACACCTCAGGCCTTATGCCCTCGTTGAGTGCATTGTCAATTCATTCTTTCTTCAGTCCACGACAAGCATCTATAGCAAACCGTGCCGACTCATGATAAGGAGTAATAGCATGAATCCCGCGAACATATTTGAGGTAAAACATCAGGAAAGCTTTCTTGGCGTGGAGGGTAGACGAAGCAGACAGTATAGTCCTTTGACCATTTTCTAGTTTCGCCACAAATTTATCATAAGCACACAAGGTTATGTTCAGGCAACCAATGTGGTCAATGCAACTGTAAGAAAAGATGCACCGATTAGTGAGAAGTTTGGAAGCCAAATTTAAAATTTGGATGAAGTGGTGGTGGTGGTAGTTGTGAAAATTGACAGTTGGGCATACAATTTACGTGATAGCGTGTGCTGTGATTTCGCAAATCACGCGTAGGCTGACCAATGCGAGAGTGGCTAGGCTTTCCTCACCTTATACTCTAATCAATGCAACTCATGAAATCTACTCTGCCACCGGTTATCGACTGTGTGATCTCTCACACTGCATAAAGAAATGGTGGAAAAAAGCGTTGATCCTTTCTAGTATAATGGAGAAGTAATATTGGCCTAAACTCCGCCAATCCCCTAACAAGAGTGGCTTTAGTGATATATCATGGATTATCCATAACAACTTCATTTTCTGCATTCTTCATGCAATTCCTCATTCTTTAATCTGTGCACGGCTCTGTTATATTCATTCGTGCTTTACTCTGCCACCTTATCACATCACAAGTTTAGTGCTTACTGCTCTTCTTTTTGTCTGCTCCGAATATGCCTCCTCCTCCTCCTCCACTTCGCTGTTCTTATTTTGAGTACTTAATTTGAAGGTGAAGACAGTGAAATGCCTCACTACTACTTGGCCCCCAATCTACACTTTCTTGGCATAAATACAAAAGGTAGTTACAGGCTCAAGCTGAGTATGTGGTGGAGATAAGAATGCTGCCCATAAAAGGTATGACCGGCATTTGTGACTGTGGCAAAAGAGAAATTGAGTCCTCGATTCAAATGTGCTTGGGAAATGAGACATCAACTCAGAGCAACTATTTACCTGTCATAACAAGATTTATACATTCCACCTCTGCATCTACGGCTTGGAACGAAGTCTTTCTTTTTCTCACACGCTCTTAGTCGATTGCAAATGCCTTCAACAGTTGGGTTGACTTCAGCCAAAATAATGAGAAGTGGTCCATTATCGAGAAGAAAGGAGATAACTTGGATCCTTGCGTTGTCTTCCACGTAGTAACGATGCGCCCCTCTTGTAATCCACTCAATTGTCCTGCAAAGGCCGTCCACACACCGCTTTAGAGTCAGCAGCAAATTGACAAAGTTGTCTCCGCTAAAATGGAAATAAGATCTCGAGAGGTATTGAAATGGATAAAGAAGAGTGACTCAAAGGGACTCGAAGTAATTTACTATTTTCCCTTTGGCAAGTAATCAAGGTACTTACAGTGTGGAGATCTGCTATCCCAAAAAAGGCTTTTATTAAGAAGTAGATACTATAATTGCTACGGGTTCTAAACTTTATCCTCATGCATGGCAAAAAATGAGTAAAATATCAGGATAAACTCAAATGTGTTATAATCGGGCTCATAAAAAGGTGTTTTTATCTGAATTAATTTTAAGTTTCAAATAGAATGAGTGAAAGCAAAGTGAAGAGTTATATTAAAGACAATCCACAAACTATGTGGAAAAAAGTATTTTTTTAAAATTTCGTTAGAGCTAAGGTGTCTACATGTAGCACTTAGATCCCACAGCACCCAATTTCCTGACAATTGTACACTTCTTGTATTAGAAATGGATAGCGTCTTTCCTACGTCTTCCAATTGAGTGCACACGATTTTATCGATCTCAGCGAGTTCCTGTGGATGCAATGAGATTATAAGTTTTGCGTACAGTCACCAAAATTGAGGATAATGAATGGAAAACGTGGGTTCGATCGTGTACTTGCTTGAGTGACCTCAAGAGAACAAGTTTTAACATCTGCCTAAGAAAAATTTCAAGATGGAAAAATCGTGTAATGTTAGGCAAAGATTGGTGCTCACTTTCTTGTTTGAAATTACACGATTGTTCAAAGTGAGGACAAATGTATTTCTTTTGGGTATTTGTTTAGGTCATTCGTCTTCTATATTAAATATATTCTAAGTGGTACAAAAGCTATAGACCATTGTCTTACGTCGTACTGACAGAAGTAGGAAGCAATTTTCACCACCCGCATCACGTTCATCGTAAGATTTGAGGCACCCTTGAATTGACCAGTCGATTACGTGGGAATCCTACCATTTGCTGTCCACTTCGGCGTGAAGAACGTTCCTCTTTCACTGCATGCAAACAGCGAATGGGCTAATAGAAAACGTCAGACCAATATCATATGCTTCAGACATGAATAAAGGTTGGATGACATGGTGGAGAAATCCAAGTAGTGTGCAGACACAGTTTATATTTTATCATATTTCGAGTAAGTTGGGTCGGGTTGACGGTGAAAATGAATATTTCAGCCAAAATTAATGAAAATGAAGTGCCTTCCTGTACTGGAGTTGAATTATTGAAGCTTCAAATTGCTATCTACTATCTTACTACCTTCTCATCGAATTATTTAAACAGGCTGGCGGATGTGAATGTGGACGTGTATGTGTGAGACAACTTCGTGATTTCTAATGCTCCTTTTCAAAAGGGCAA